TCGGCCCATTGCGGCTGGACGATATCGGGGTTCTTGCGGTACAATCGGAGGAGGGTCAGCGAGGCCTTCTTCTTGACGAATGCCTTAGATGTCCTGCGTCTTGTTAGCTAGAGCTCTCCATCGTAGTACGGCTGCACATACGGCGAGATCAAAAGCCTGTGAACCTCTCCACTCAGAGCCTCTCCCATTTCCCTGCCACCAACGTTGGCAATCGCGTGGAGAGCCAAGCAGTTGAACAGCTCATTGTGGTCCAGCAAGTCCTTTCGTATACTATTGACGACCAGGTGCAGCAGCTCGTGCTTCTCGTGCAGGAAGAGGGTCATGGCCAGGTAACCAATCTGCTTCTCCGAGTACTTATTCGCCGAGATAAGGTTGACCGCCTCGAGGTGGCCGAAGTCGACGTTCCATCCGAGAATGTAAATGTAGAGGAGCTTCGCAATCCGTCAGCGCAAATGCCTTGCCAAACACTGGAGGACCGTCCGTACCTTGCACACGTATTTCTTCTTGTGGTATCCGCTGAGGTTTCCATCTGCTCTGTCGTTAGTGCCGCTACACCACGCCGCCCGTACGCAATCGGTTCTCACCCTTGAACTTTTGACTGCAAGCCAGCTCTGTCAGCACACCGTCACGAGACCGCCATCTCCGGACGCGGGGCACTCTCACCGAATGTTGGCCAGCTCCTTGTTGATACGCTTCTCCTCCAATTCCCTCGCTCTTGCGTTTCTCAAATCAGCAATGAACTGCACCAAGCCTCGCATGTTGGAGTTGTTGCTCGTCGAGCGGCCGAGAAAGCCGCTGCCTCCGGACGACATGGCTGCGGTTGCTGTCGGGTTCGTCGGAGAGTTCCAACTCTATCTGCTCTTTCTCTCCTCGCGTCTTGCCGATGGGTTGGGAAGATCGTCAGCCGGACTGGCGTCGTCGGTGTCGCCACGTCGCGGGCTTGAGCGCGGTCTGAACTCGGTGCTCGGAGGGCGGGGGGAATGATGTTTCTCTCTCTTCGCTTCGATGAGGGAACGTTTCGTTTGCTGCTGCTGCTATGCTCTTCGACGAGCGTGGGGGCGATCACTCCATGCGCGCGAGGAGGTCGTCGAGGTTCTGATCGGGCACCCAGCAGCTTTCGCGTGGCAGAGTGGGCGGCTTTTTGGGTAGGAAACTGATCGGTCGGTTGGACGGTGGACTCGGGCGAATCGAACTCGAAACCGGCCGGCAAGTGCCGCTTAACAATGCGTTTCCCCGTTGGCGTGCGGGAATGTGAGAACTGAACGCGGTGTCTGTTTCTTTTTTCCCCTTCTTCTTGTCGACTCGACCGCAGGGTTGGTGAGTTTCTGACGATTGGTTCAAGAAGCCAGGCAGTTATGTCGACTCCCGACGTTGCACTGGGAAAGTGAAATTCCAAAAGAGCGAAAAAGCAGCAGCAAGACCAGGGAAAGGGGTTCGAGGGGGGGGCGTGTGGGTGAGAAGAGGGACCCGCGGCGGGAAACGACACTTTAGAGCAAGACAGTGGAGGCCCCGGAAGGCTTGGGAGTTGGGACAGAGGTCCAGTGGAATACTTAGTGTTCCGTCTACTTTTGGGCTGTGTGGAGATGGGCAGCGTCCAGTCCGGGACAACAACAGCAACTGTATCTGTAGGTAGGTACGTCTATCTGGTCCGCCTGTCAAAAGAACTCACGGGCACTAAGCCGCTGCAAGGTCAATGTCAGAGCTGCCGCCAGCCTTCAGGTGCCGTACATCATACATGTGCCTTCCACGCCGTAGAGCACCCCGTGTGAGGTGCAGGTAGTTTGCTTGTTGCTTGAAGACTGGGCGCGTCAGGGGTTGCAAGGTACTTCCCCCGAGCGCCGGGCAGTGTAGGGCGCGTGCTCTCTAAAACGGTCTGAACCTGAACCTGTCCACCCCGGCGATGGTGCTGCTTTCCGAGGCCAAACCAATTTCGCAGCACGAGGACGGGACGGGCGGCCTGTGCAGCTGCTGCCCTGGCCTGGACGGAACGTGGAGGGGAGCTGCCGTCGTCGCCCTCGTCGTCGTAGGGGACTGCTCGGCGTGTGTGCCACTGCAAACAGTCAGCCTATCACACACCCCGTCATTGTAGTGACCCAAGTGCAGGCACCTCAGGTCCGGTACGTACCCTCAACACGCTAGACGACGCTGCTCTGCCGTCCTGCATCATCGAAGTCCCAAAATTCCCATTGGAAAGCTGCGGCGGCGGCAAGCTTCCCCTCGTACAGATCTAAAAGAAGAAAAACCTTCTTTTTTTGCCAATTCCTTACTCCCACAGACCCTTCTCTGCCTTCTCCGCAGCTGAAGTACTGACACGTCTACACACTCACATCCTCCATGTCCGCCAGAAATGCATTGCGCCGCCCAATGAACCACGCATTCAAACGCCTGTGCCTCGCGGCCCCGAACCCCCGGCTTCCCACCGGCGCTGTCTCCGGGCTCCTCCGGGGAGGCCCTGCCGCTGCTACCGCCGCCTCTCGCCGGTCAGCCTTCACAGCCGCCGGCGCCCCGACGTTCCAGGTCTTCAACCGCCGCACAAAATGGCTGCAGAAGGAGCGCGCAGCCTCAAATCTCGAGGCCAGCAGACAGGCTGATTACCTCAAAGACGAAGTTGCCTCACGTCTATGCGAGAGGTTACTTGTAAATCTCCCTTCCCTAAAGCTCCAATGGACACACACTAACACGAACCTCACTCCCAGGACATCAAACGCTCCTTCCCCCGCGTCCTCGACCTCGGCGCAAACTCCTGCAACATAGCCCGCGCCCTCACCCGCGAGAACCCGGACCCGGACCCTTCGAAACCCATCTCCCCGCCCCTCGCCACCCGCATCGAGGAGCTCGTCGCCGCCGAGTCCTCCCACTCCCTCCTCCACCGCGACGCCGACCTCCCCTTCAACGCCGACATCAACATCTCCCGCCAGGTCCTCGTCGACGAGGAGCACGTCCCCTTCGAGCCCGCCTCCTTCGACCTCGTCCTCAGCTCCCTCAGCCTCCACTGGATCAACGACCTCCCCGGCGTCCTCACCCAGATCAACAACGTCCTCAAGCCAGACTCCCCCTTCATCGGCGCCATGCTCGGCGGCGACAGCCTCTTCGAGCTGCGCACCTCCCTCCAGCTCGCCGAGCAGGAGCGCCGCGGCGGCATATCCCCCCACGTCTCGCCCCTGGCGGATGTCCGGGACGTCGGCGGCCTCATGCAGCGCGCCGGCTTCAAGATGCTCACCGTCGACGTCGACGACATCGTCGTCGACTACCCAGATACCTTTGCGCTGATGCAGGACCTGCAGGCCATGGGCGAGGGCAACGCCATCCTCGGCCGCGAGATGGGCGCCATCAGGAGAGACGTGCTGTTGGCGAACGAGGGCATCTACAGGGAGCTGCACGGCAACGAAGACGGTAGCATTCCCGCCACATTTAGAGTCATCTACATGATCGGGTGGCACGAGGGCGGCGAGCAGCCCAAGCCCCTACCCAGAGGATCTGGAGAGATCAACCTCAAGGACGTGCTCGAGTCCAGCTAGACACTCCCAGATTCGTTGTAACAAATAATGTAAAAACAAACTCGTAAAAAACGAACAAAAATCTATGGCTTTCATTGTCGGCACGCCCAATCTGTCTACCACTTTTGACCAAAGGCCCATGCCCGCTCGTCATGAACGTCATTATCCACACACAGACACTACTTCCACATCCTCCTTAAACCCGTCTCCAATCCGTCATGACACGGCCGATAGATCCCAGCCCGGCAACATCGACAACCTTCTCGTGCCAGCTAAGCAGCACGCTCATCGCGCTGCCGACATTCTCGTTCGTGCCACCGGGCCGTCCGCCGATCTGGCTGAACCCGCCAGGCGCAGCCTGCGGCGGCGGCGACCTCAGCCCCGAGGAACCACCAGCGGAACCCGCCATGCCCTTGTAGATGTACTTCATGAGGACGTCGAGCAGCTCGGGGCCGCCGGGGGATCCGTAGATGGACTTGAGCAGGGGCGTCATCTCGGAGGCCTTAATGGACTGGAGGACCTCGGTGATGGTTTGGAGGTGGGCGTCCTATAATACACGCAACCGTTCAGCAACCTCGACCAACGTGCCATGCCCGCAAGATTCAAGTAAAACTTACCTTGGCGGCATCGGCGCCGTTGTACACCGGAAACTCCAAGCATCCCCTCAACGCACCCTCCGCATCACCGCCCCTCAACAGCTGCCTGACCTGTCCAGCCAGCCCGCGAACCTCGGACTCGTCGATCTCGGGCTGAGGAGGGTGCAGCGTGGAGGTGTCAAAGTTGTGCGGCGAGTCCTCCTGCAGGGCGTCGATGTTGATGGTGCGCCAGGCGTCGCTGAGCGTAGCAGACGTGTGCTGCTGGATGATGGACATTGTGGCGGCGAGCTCGATGGGCTGAAAGCTTCGAGGTGTGTTGTGGCAGGTGATATGGCGGGATTAGGGTGATCGTGTCACAAGACTAGCTGTGTCGGAAGTCTGCCGTTGTCGTCGCTCGCTCTGTGGAATTGGCGGTCGGCGTGTCGTGGGTTTGCTCGGGAATCGTGCCTTGCGTAAGGTCGAGGTGAGGTAAGGTAGCCGCAGCCGATGGTGGGGAGTTGGCTTGGACATGGTGTGGAGGGTGTGGGGTTCGACGAGGCGGTGCGGCTGGTTGACGAAGTTGGCCCGTGCGGCATATGAATCCACGGCCAATATCAAAGCCCGCTGCAGATCAGCTTCCAGTGCATATGCGCCGCATAGAGACATGCCCGTTGTAGAAAACGATCACAATCTTGGGCAACCCATTTAGATCAACTAATTATATTGAATTCCAAAGCAAAACATGACAAACATTGCACTTGAACCGCGACATGATAGGAACTACTAATTGCATGCCACTGTCTAGGTCCAAAAGTCGCCCACACTCTCGGGCCCCTCATACGTATACACAAGAGGAGGCCGACGATCCCTCCGCTGTCGGCCCTCGAGGATATCATGCCACCGCACGCACGGCGTCTTCCGCTTATGCTTATGCGTCAATCAGGTTCTCCTCGTTCTGCTGCACCTGCTGCCTCTGCTTGCCCTTGTCCTTGGCCTCCTTCGCCGCACGCTGGTAGAACTCGTTGAGGACCTTTCCGGGAATACGGTTGAGCAACTCCTTGGGGTAGAGACGGAGCAAGCTCCACGCGAGGTCGAGAGACTCGAAAATGCTACGCGACTCGTACTGGCCCTGGTTGATGAACTGGCGCTCGAACTTCTCGAGGAACTCGAGGGAGAGCTTGTCCTCGGCAGACAGAGCCTCCTCACCGACGACTGCCTTCATGGCAGCGGCGTCACGACCGATGGCGTATTTGGCGTACAGCTGGTTGGAAACATCACCGTGGTCCTTGCGGGTCATGCCTTCACCGATGGCAGACTTCATGAGACGAGAGAGCGAAGGCAGGACGTTGATGGGCGGGTAGATACCACGGTTGTACAGACCTCTGTCGACGAAAATCTGGCCCTCCGTGATGTAGCCCGTCAAATCGGGAATGGGGTGAGTGATATCCTCGTTGGGCATGGTCAAAATAGGGACCTGGGTGATGGATCCGTTGCGACCAGCCACACGACCGGCTCGCTCGTAAATGGTGGACAAATCAGTGTACATGTAACCGGGGTAACCACGACGACCCGGGACTTCTTCACGTGCGGCAGACACCTCACGCAGAGCGTCGCAGTAGGCCGACAGATCGGTCAGAATAACGAGAACGTGCTTCTCGAGCTGGTAGGCGTAGTATTCGGCGGTAGTAAGGGCCAGACGGGGAGTAATAATACGCTCGATACTGCGGGCTGTCAGTCAAAGGTCTTTCAAGAGATGTTGGGTGAACTCACGTAGGATCGTTGGCAAGGTTGAGGAAAAGAGTGACACGCTCCAAGGAACCGTTCTCCTCGAAATCGCGGGTGAAGAATCTGGCAGTCTCCAAGTTGACACCCATGGCACCGAAAACGATGGAGAAGTTCTCCTCGTGGCCGTCGTGAACACCCTTGTTGGTGACACCCTTCTGCTGGACGAGACCAGCCTGTCGGCAAATCTGGGCGGCGATTTCGTTGTGCGGCAGACCAGACGAAGAGAAAATGGGGATCTTTTGGCCACGGGCGATGGAGTTCATGGTGTCGATGGCAGAGATACCGGTCGAGATCATTTCTTCGGGGTATTCCTAGCTGCCGTTAGCATTCCGAGTGCGACCGTGGTCTGGGGAGGTTTAACATACACGGGAGAAGGGGTTGATGGGACTGCCGTTGATGTCGAGGTAGTCCTCGGCGAGGACCTTGGGGCCCTTGTCGATAGCTCGTCCGGAACCATCAAAGATACGACCAAGCATGTCCTCCGACACACCGAGCTTCAAGCTCTCGCCCGTGAACTCGACTTTCGTCTGTCGTCTATTTTAGCGCACGTCACCCAGCATAGAGATGGCGATGATCTCATACCTTCTTAACATCGATGCCTGACGTTCCCTCAAAGACCTATTTCCATCGTTAATCGGTGTTATTCGAACGATCGCTTCGTTTCGCATACCTGAACAACGGCTCGGTCACCTATGGTTATTGTCAGCACACGGGTCGAGTTGGATGCGTGTTGGATGGGTAAATACCTCGAGCCTCGAGGACCTGGCCCTGTCTGTTGGTTCCATCGGGAAGGGTCAGGGAGACAATCTCGTTGTATCTGGGGAATTTAACCTGCATTCAAGTCAGCGCCCGCATTCGACAGTATTCTTCCGCGAAGTCGCAGCCGGCAGGGCGACACGCACATTCTCGAGAATGACGAGGGGTCCGTTGACACCGCCGACGGTGTTGTACCGAATTCTCGGCACAATCGAGTAGGAGGGCTCGCGCGGGTCACTCATTGCGTCGACAGTCAATGAGACAGCGCCCGATTATAAGAAATGTGCGGATGGAGGGGGCGAGGGGGTCGATAGGAAGGGCGTGGTCGGGCGGATGGTTGAGCGACGGTTGGTGATGCACCGGTAAGGTAGCTGAAGGAGGTTGGCAGGCGAGTGTCGTCTACAGCGATGCACTGGACTGGAGCTTGCTTCGTCTCGGTGGAGCCTGTTCGGCAAGCTGGTCACAGTGGCGCCGATAAGATCCCTGGTGCAGGCCAGCGCGCGGGCCTGGAGCTCCCAGTGTCAGCATGAACTTTGGGCGCTGAGGTGCATTGTGGCAGTGACATCACATGACTGGCACCTGCCTCCCCCCCGCCTGCTGCCCGTTCCAATGGACGTCTGCAAACGGATGAAGGAAGTGTCAACGGATGCATTCCAGCGCAAGTAGGAAACATGGCGAGGCATGTACTGCTTTGAACTAGGTAATTGAATTGAAATCCCTCGACTACAAATTAAGCGGCCGACGCCTCACGGGCTCTGGCTCCCAACACCGCCTTCCCAACGGTGCTGTCGTTGGACTTGCTCAGCTCCCCCGTGATCCACGCGCCAATATCAGACATGGCGTCCAAATCGATGCCCGTCTCCATCCCCAGACTCTCGATGAAGTAAATCATGTTCTCCGTAGCCACGTTACCAGTCGCACCAGGGCTGTAAGGGCACCCGCCAAGTCCACCAACACTGCTGTCAAAGGTGCGAATGCCATGCTCCAGGGATATAGCGGTGTTGACCAGCGCCTGGCCGTACGTATCGTGAAAGTGCATCGCAATATCCTCGTTCCTGATACCCGCCGACCGCATGCAGCTCAGGAGCTCCTTCGTCCGCGGCGCGGTGCCCATGCCGGTAGTGTCGCCCAGCGAGATCTCGTCGGCGCCAGACTCGAGCAGGTCCGTCGCGATCTCGGCGACCTTGTGCGGGTCCACGTCGTAGCCCTCGAACGGGCAGCCGAGGACGACCGAGACGTAGGCGCGGACGCGGAGGCCGGCAGCCTTTGCGTCGCGGATCACCTCGCGGAAGCGGTCCAGCGATGTCGCAATGTCGCAGTTCAGGTTCTTCTTGGAGAACGACTCGGTAGCAGCCGCAAAGACCGCGACCTCAACCGCGGGTGTCGACGGATCGGCCGAGGGCTGGAGCTGCGAAGCGAAGGCGCCGGGATACTTGGCCAGCAGCGCCTGGGCGTTCTGCAGGCCCTTGGTATTCGGTGCGAGGAAAGAGTACGATATTTGAGAGGGCGAAGAGATCTTTTTCGTGAGGATGTGCTCGAGAATATCGTTCGAATTGGCCATCTGCAGGCATCCGGTATTAGCAACGAAGCTCTAGCCGTAAGTGCGATTAGGCTAATTCAAGAGCTCACCTGGGGAACCCATTTGGGTGCGACGAAAGAGCCACCCTCAATCGTCGACAAGCCTGTCCTGGCGAGCTTCTCGATCAGCTCGATTTTGGTGGCGAGGGGAATTGTCTTCTTCTCGTTCTGCAGGCCATCGCGTGGGCCGACCTCGACGAGCTTGACGTAGTTGTCGCGGGGAGGCTGCTGGATCGGACCGGTAGCGGTCGCAAAGGTTCGTAGAGGACGGAGCTGCGTCCTTCTGCACGCCCGACAAACTGCTGGACGGATGGAAAACATTTTGGGAGTTGAATTGTCGTCAAGAGCCAACGAGGGGTCGATCGGCAACAGGTCGCAAAGGCGACTCCAAGAGCTGGGGCCCAGGAGCTTGGCCGCATATCGTCGGCTTCCATCAGTCTTCGATGGACCTCGGTATCACCCAGGTGGCACCGCCTGGCACCACTCAATGCCAACTTTCTGCATCCCTGCGTCTTCGCGGACCGACTCCCGCAACTCCATCAACGCTGTTGACCCATAATTCTCGTGATAGCTTCATGAAGCTCACCACAGTACACAGCTCTCGGGGGTGAGGCGAGGTGCCTATTTTTGAGATGACATTCATGATATTCCAAACTTCAATCACCGAACAAAAGCTTTTCAAGTTGCATCCAAGTACTCGGTAGCTCTTGAACATCTGCTCTAGCTAGCGTACTGCACAGTTCAACACCATCCCCAGGATGCAGCCGAACGACACAGCAAACAGAGCTGGGCACAGACTGGACCCAGCACAATTGACTCTGCTTTTCGGGTCTTTATGGCAATATATCTATCTCTCTTCTTACTTAGCTACCTTGCTACCTACCGTGGACTCGTTTCCGGGATATCGAGTCGCTCGTTGACAGCATGTAGTGTATGTAGCCTTTGAGTAAAATACTTTAGGCGGCCACTTTGCTGTACACATACAGAACCTTCCTTCCGTTTCTCGAGATCTGTGTGTCTTCAGATCGAGAAGTCAGCCTCTCATTAACCCTTTTTGCTCTCTGCCTTATTTCTCACCATGGGTGAACTAGCAAGTGCGCACACGCGAGCTCAGTAAGTGTCATTCCAGCGTCACCCGAGCCTCGGAACTGGAAATCACTTCTTGAGTTACACTCTGTACTACGAGGGGCCTCATCAGACCGTGGTTGTAAGTCACCTTTAGGTGAAAAGTAAGGGATGTGGGCTAATGAAGATCCAGGTCATACTCGTCCTGCAAACTCCGTACTGCTTGCGCGGCTTGTTAGAAGCGTATGTCCGCTCGTCAGAGTCAGATTGTCTGCCCAGCCGTCCGTCCAAACGATGGGCTCCTAAGTGCTCTTACCTCTCAGTTCACAATCGCTGTCTGTCGACCTGGAATCAGCAAAAAGAAAAGGTAAAAAAGAACAACAAAAGAAAAAAAAATTGAAAAAAGGTCAAAAAGTTCGGATCGAAGCCAGGGCCCTGGGTCAATCCTATGAAAACCCAACATAGGATTTTGCACTTAGAGATTAACGTGTTCAGCCATGCACGCCCGGTAACTGCGAGCTAGTTATCTGGGATTTGGAAGGCCAAGCGACTCACTCCTTGATAAACCATACAGTGGGCTGAGCAAGTTAAGCTGGCAAGGTGCCTCCGCCAGGGAGTATCTTCACCCTCGTCTGATCTACCCAGGCGCCACCTCTTCACCCAGCAGCTTCTCAGGTACCCACCCTAGTACCACAGCCACCGATACCGGTACCTTTCCTCGCGAAGCGAAGGCCATAGATGGTGCGGCTACGATTCCGAGGCTGAACATACCCTATGGGGCGGCTGGTACTTTGGCTGTGCCATTTAGGCTTGCTGTTGCTGCTGTTCTGGAGGCATCGGCTCCTTCTGCATGGCTCGTTCTTTTGCAACACACTATCCATCCCCTAAGCATAGAATTTGGCGACATTTGGACACTAATTGATCAGCTACCTAGGTCGCAGCACGAATACAAAGATGATATCTTCCTTTAAGTACCTCCCGCTATCGGTATGGAGTTCGGTGACCTGTGGCAGCAAAACTGACGCCCACCTATTTTCTCAGGTAATGGCATTTCTCAAACACCTCACCTCGTCTGCTAGGTACCTAGGTATGGTACTGAAACTTTGTCGCAATGGAAACCTCGGGAATTCCACTCATACGAAGCACCTGGAGCGCTGCCGTATGCTTCCGTATCCGGACCAGCTTTGCCAGGTATCTCTAGAAAGTTCTCAAGTCTACCACTGAGTAAGAACAAATTTTCACCCATATATAGAGTTCAGATCTTTCGGTGCAGGCCGGGTGAAGATGGTCCATGGAAGTTATCGGAAAGAACCGTATGCAGCAGGTACTTGCCCAACCCACCTTCCCTCTCCACAGGTCACCACACTTTGCTGAATCGCGAATCTTTTGCGCACATGACCTTGGTGTCAAACCGCTTGGTGAGCAGCAAGGTCCTTCTTGTGTCCTCTCATTGTCAGCGCGGTGCCGGGAAGGGGCCAAGATGAAGAGAGGAAGGAGCGAGATTTTCAGAATTGAGGCAGTCACGGCTCCTCTGACCATAGTACCCGCGTACCTCGGGTGGATGATTCACTTCCAGCAACAGCTCAAGAGTCATTGGGTTCTGACTGTCGAGCAAGGTGGGAGCGGTCATGGCTCACTGTGCACTCCACCGGGGTGCCCCCAGTCGCCTTTTTTTCCACAGTGCTACGGACACTTAGAAGGAAGGAAGGGTGTGCGCAGGGTGTGCGCGACCAAAGTGAGGCAAGTTAAGGTAGGTAGACTGTGCAGGAGCCAACAGGTAGGGTGGGGTGTAAATTCAGGGGCGTGTGGGAGAAACTTGACAGGCAGGGGGGTGGCAGAGAGGAAGGGGTGGCAGAGAGGGAAGGGAGGCTGCGAAAGGGGACGTGTGAGGAGCTGTCACGATAGACTCAAATTCATAAGGGTGAGTGAGATGGGCAGAAAGATTGGGTCATATGAATGAAAATCAAAGTTTCCAGGTGAATTTTGGGGCTGTGTCTAGTTGTTGTTTTCTCTTGGGGCGTGGGTGATTCCCAAGCAAAGAGTAGGGGCAATGGCAAGTAAGTGGCCCGGCATTGCGGTGAGATGAAAATGCGCGAGAAAGAAAACTTTAGGCCGAAGAGGGAGGATAATATCGTCAGCTTCAATTACTACAGAGAAACCAGCAGAGAACGCTGCAATATTCGCAGCTTCGCGATCGCCTCACGTGGCAGCTGAGAGAGGACGTGGGCCCCCGGCCAGGCAGTCGCGTAAGGTGAGGGCACAACACAAAGAATCGCGTCAACCACGAGCACAACGAACGATACGAACTACAACAAAAGCAGGACCCGGGGGCATTTAGCTCAACGCAGGACCAACTCGTTCGTCAGCGGTCAAGGGACGCCTTGGCCGCTGGCACAATGGTATGAGGTCTAGGATCGAGGAGGGTGGTGTGGAGGATATGGGTTCGAGCCTACGCGACGACAGGCAAAAACTACCGATCGATCGAAAATTCCCGGCTTGTGCACCAGAGATTAGCCCACACCGGTGGGTGAACTCTTTTGCTATTTTGACCTTAGATATTACTGTCGCATTTCATTTTGTTTCGCAGCAATTGAGTTTTAGATGTACTGCGTTAGATCTTTTATTTGTGCTGATATCCAACTGGGTTTGAGCGTCACTTGTGTTGTGATATCCACCCCTGAGCGTTAATTGTTGTGATTGCATCCTATATAAACAGACACTGTTTGACTGAAGCCCCACCTCCTCCCATAGTACGACCTCTTTGATGGTAACAAATAAAACCAGCGACAGATACACAGCGTCAGTTTGTCAATTGGATGGGTCGCTTAACCTGGCTGGGCAGCGACTCCTTGGATCCTTCGTTCGCATTGATCCACCGCAGGCTTTGCCAATTGACGGCCGTCCAGACGCTTGCCATCAAGATGGAATCAATGCGAATATCAAAACTATCGATACACCGCTCTCTTTTAGAAGAAACTCGTGGTCAAGCTAGCATGATATGAACGCCCCCTGAGAGTCTGCAGACACCCAGCCATCGTCCAACAGCCGTCATGCCCATTCCTTGATCGCGACCGACGCATAATTCTACCTTGTCCCTTTCATGTTCACTATCTGTCTACCAATATCATATTTCTCAGTCTCTCTTCTCAGTCTCGAAAGGTAAGGGAGAGGAGAGGGCGTCCCGTCTCCGGTAACGCAGCACCAACCCGGATGTGCTCTCTCTCTCTTTTCCAAACGCTTCTTCGATGACCCAGATAGTACTACGGGGTGATTACGAGAAGAACACCAAAAGGGTTGAAATCGTCTCCCAGGCATGAAATTTTGGCCCCTTCGCACCCGGGGAGCGTTCTGGGCGGTCAGAGCAGGAGGGCCAAAGCAGAGCACTCGCCATCAAGCTCGCGCTGTATACCTTGCCGGAAAAGATTCAGATACGCACTTGACTCACATTGTGATGTTTTCTTCGCCAATTGATGGCCGTGGGAGGCGCTGGACGCTCATTTACGGCCACTTACACTCCTATCCTGCTGGTTTGTAAACCACATGTCGTTGTTTTACGGACAAGGGTACCTGGCGGAGATGGCTTGCGGGGAACCTTAAAATTTTCCGCGGACGCACATGTCCCCGATTTTTCCAGGAACACCCGTGCGAGGGCGTCCAGCAGCCCAATCAGGTTGATCGCTCCCCTGGCTCTCGTTACCAGTGCCTGACTGCCCCTGATTCCAATGTAAGCGCAGCGCCCCGATAATTTCGACGACATCGCTCGGCAGAAACCACGGTATGTTCTCAATTGCTCGCGATTGCGCATCCAATTTGAACCAAACTGATAGCATTCCAATCGAGTCTGTAGTGAAGTTTTTGAGAATTGTGACGGAACCAAAAAAAAACTGCCTGTCCACCCTGACAATTCGCTAAACCCTGGTGCCTAGGCAGGCGTGTAAGTCGACTTGATATGCGCATAACACCGTCATTTTCTGCATTTCTTACCAATCTACACCGGCAGAACACCTCTTCAGCGCTTCTTTTTGCTTCTCTGGCGTCGTCAAGCTTTCCCCTACAAACCTTCAGCATCTTATCGTGTTGCTTACACTGTCTCGCTCGCCAGCAATGCCCCAGCTCATGGCCAACAGGCTCAAGACTTACTCACTCGCCCGTAATATTGTCTACCCAGGTCCCGAACAAAAACTCTGCTGAAGTCAGATATCTGGGGCTAATCGGTACTTTTCAGCCGGGTCAAGATGAAGTACTCCAGAGGATGGAGGCGCATGGATGGCTATGGAGCAGGTTGTACCCTCGTCATCGGTGCGCAGCTGCCAATGACACATTCTCATCGAGCTTCAAAACCCCTTTGATCTTCTTCAGTACGGACTGTAAACTCAACTGGGCGGCGTCGTGAAGCCTCAAGTCGTGAACATAGAGGGTGCAATGTGGTCAACCCAAATGGGGTGGCAACTAGCCAGAGTCATCGGTGGAATCACCAGACAACTTACAGGTGTGAAATGGCTGTCGAGAGTTGAAAGGTCTGTAAACCTATATGCCAAAAGCTCGAGAGGTTCCTAGAGTCATAGTATATAGAGAAAATCTCGCAGCTCGAGGAGTCTGCCTCGTTTCTTTCCTTCTCTGCATCATCGTAACGATAGGTCAGATTCTCTCTAGTCTTCCATCATCGTAACGATACATCGCCGTCTTCCATCATCTTCACGATAGATCACTGCCCTTCTATTCGCCTGAATAACCCGTATACACGTGGTCGGTTTCATCATATACACTCCTACTGCAACACTACACACACCCCCTGACTCTATCGACGTATCGAACCAATGGATTACCAGAGTCAAAACGAGCAATTTATGGAGAGGGGCGTCACCCAAGCGGGTTCGGACGACGTTGTTAGTTCTAACAATGAAATCCACCCCCAGGCCTTCCCCCCGGCCACCCACGAGGAAATTTTCAACTTCCACGTAGAAGAGGAGGATGTACTCTTCTACGAGAGGCTCACCGAAGCACTCCGAATTGACGCCCAGTCGCCACCCAACAACCTCTTGGACGCCGAGCAAGGCATGGTAGCCGTCGCTACCGACGAGGCGAACAATGGACAGGCTTCCTTCTACTCACAGGCGCGCCCCCAGGCCAACTACGACGACATTTCCCGCCGCCTCTCCCGAGAAGAGATGGACGCCTACAGTCGCGACATTTTGGGCCCCAACAACCTCTTGGGCTTCGAGCGAGACATGGGAGTGAACAATGACCAGGCTCCCGTCCACTCACACCACTGCCCCCAGCTGCCCCGCTATAACTCCCCATTCAACCCCTACGGTAACTACGAGTCGATTGTTACCAACACGCCCAGCCAGCCCCCGTACGTCAACGCGGCTGAACTTCAGAACAACGGCGGCAACAGCTGCCAAAGGGTCGTCACCCAACAGATGGCGAACCCCGGTACTGGTTTCTCAGGTACCGGTGGCTTCCATCCTCGGACCATCGCCCAGGTCCCCAAGCCGTCCGAATACATGGACGTAGACTCCTTCCCCGCCAATAACATTGATCCGGCGATCCTTGAGGACACCGTCGCCGGTCAGCTCTCTACTCCGGTCCCAGCCCCGATCTCCGGCGACGGCAACGGCAACGGCAACAACGAGGGCAACGGCAACGACAAGGGCAGCAGCAACAACAACTTCGGGGTGGGGGCGGCCCCACCTCAGCCTCTCATCGTCCCTGAAGCCCTCAAGCCCAACACCGCGGGCAACAGGGTGAAAAAGCAAGCTGCCACCAAAAGAAAAGTGAGCAGTAAAAGCTGCTCTAATTGCAGATCCTCGAAGCTCCGTTGCACACAAGTTGAGGGCCGCAATGCTTGCCTCAAGTGCGTGAAGGGTGGCTTGTCTTGCGACATGGGCCGGACGACCGATAAGCGCACGAGGGAAACCAACCGGGACAAGCTCCTTCGAACCGTCGAGGGATGCAAGAAGTACCTGGCAGATCTGCTGATCCTGATCTACAGCATAAAGATCGCGAACGACCAGGGCAAGCTCAACGACAAGATTTCCATGATTAGGAGCCAGCTGTCACAGGGCCTTCCCGGTAACAGCCTCTTGTTTTATGCCGTCACACAACAGCACCTGACACCCCAATGTGAGCAAAGGGCTCAGGCGTGTGTTCGCCTGGACGCGCTCGCCGGTCTACAATTAGACCTCCAAGGCATCGAAAACAACCTTGCCAAAATGCGCAAAACGGTTAGCCAATGTGTTGAAAAGACCAAGGAACTCGTCAGGATGTTGGGCCGATACCTTCACGTCCTGATGGATGATGAAGACCATTTTGGGGACGCCGAGATATCCTTGTGCACGGTCATAGATTCAGGGACCCCTTTCAGTCAAATCGACACCGATATGAAGGACCAATTCAGCTATATCGCTGACAATAGTGATCTTGTCAAAAGTCTCGTTGGTCATGTCGACAAACTCAAAGCCGCCTAGGAGACAAGAGAGACCGAGACGAGAGAGACGGAAGAGATGAGAGGGACGAAGAGGGACGGAGAGGGACGAAGAGGGACGGAGAGGGACGAAGAGGGACGACGAGGGACGGAGCAAGACGACGGGCACGAGAGACGGAGCGAGACGATGAGGGACGATGAGAGACGGAACGAGACAAGGCTAACGGAACGAGATGAGGGAGAGGGAAGGAACAGCAAGGTTGATGTGACGCCTGATTCACTCCACAGGTCTCGATCCACATACTACAAGGAGAACGACAGGGCTTTGTAGGGGCGATTGATAACGCACAATACAACTTCGTTATCACATTTTGGTTCCGTATCTGTAATTTGATGTGATATGATGATGAGTCTCCGGTGGTGACTGTCTGGAAGAATCGGAAGACCCCTGCCGCGTAAACCCCTACTGAATGAGCTCCCAACTTCCTCGATGTCGGAAAACTCGAGTGTCCGCGAAAGAGATATCCCTGTATTGTTGTCGGCTGTTGTTACGCAGGAGATCATCACAATGACTGAACAATTTCACAAGGCCTCGGACGGATCTTGACAAACCGTAGGAAACATCACAAAGTGACGACAATTGGTAGCCGGAACACGTCTCGTAAGCGGCGAAAGGCTTCCATATCAATTACTTCGAGACACTCTTACGATGCTAATTCAACGGGACGACTGTTCCCCTCTACCTCTGCCGCCCTTGTATTTGAGGATAGCTCAATCGGCGTCGGGTACATAATCTCCATCTCTCTCTTCAGCGACATAGCCCGAAATACCGTGCTTGGTATCATAAGTTAAACCTTGGTGATTGTGGTCTCCTTCTGTAGGAGTAACCTCAGGCCGAGAAACACGTTCGTCCCTTTTCTGCCTCCTCTTTCGTAAGCCGACGAACAAGACACCTCCAACCAGAGCAAGAAGTCCAACAACTATCCCTACAACAATTCCAGCTATAGCTCCTGGCGACAAATCATTTCCTCTTCCGCTTTGGGTGTCGAAATCAACATCCTTGCCGTAGAGCGGGAACACCGGATGAGTGACATAGATTGGCCCCGAACTCGACGGATCCGATACCGAAACTTTTCTGTAAGAGCCATAAATCGTTTTTCCTCCGCTTTCAGAAGCCCTGATCCAGACCTCTGTTGGCGTCTGAAGAAGACTCGTACAATCCCGCCATGGTGGGCCGATGGAAGCTGTTAGACAATTCCACCCCCCTGGGGGACAACACCAAGTTTGGACGTATTTGCCAGTGGGGACGTTGTAGGTAAGGGAAGTCGTACATGCGGGTGTCCAGCCGCTGATACATGCTGTGCCCGGGTATCCTAAAGTGAACGCTTCACCTACATTCAGAACATTGTCAGCGGAAGTACCCTTTCTTAATCAAAGCGGGAGTCACCATGGATGAGCCGAGATGAACGTACTGAAATCATCGCCCGCTGGGGACTGCACATCTTTGTAAGTCGTTGGAAAACATTCTTCAGGAAAAGAAGCTACTGAAGAAGTAATGAATTTGTCGGCCCAGCAGCTGACTCCGCGAGTGATGCTCTCAGTCTTTACTTCGTTGCATAAGATGGACCTGGGGAAATGGGTGCATGTGCTGGCTAGGGGAGTAAAAGCCACGGTTTGTGGCGGAAGTGCAAAGGTTCTCTGTAAAGACGAGTAGCCCTCTGAATCGTAAAAGACTGTTTGCAACAACGTCTGGTAGGTAGTTGTTGAAGATCCCATAGCTTCTTGAGTACCTAGCTTGAAGCTTGATTTGGGTTGGAGGGTTTCAAGGGAGAACAATGAGCCATGTCAATCAGAGAAACAATCAAATTGAAACTCGCATCCAGATCCCCGGGACAGGGACCATGTCCCAGGCTTTATGCAGGTAGGCTGTTTCACGAGATCTTGACTACCATGACATTGGTACTTGCACTCATAGTTTCACAGAATGGGGCTAGTCTATGTTTTCGGTCATACTTGAGACGAGATTTGAATTATCTAGTTGCATAGGTCGTGTATCGGGGGATAGCTGTTCACAGTAAGACAGGGTTCCACGACTGTTCTCACTACTGTCCAAGGTGAGACTTTGGAAATCGTCTAGAACCGCCAGCTTCAGCCTTGGATCCACAACTGCGCGTTGGACGTCTAAGATATTTGTTCATAGTCTAATAGAAGCTCAAAATATACTTGAGCTCCTATCGGAAGAAGTCCTTCAACGGATCAGGGGGCGCCGGGTCCTTCGTCAAACTCTTCTGAAATTCTGTCCTCAACCTCATCATCGGCTGCAAGACCCACGTATTGAAAGCCAAGATGTCCGTCTCTTCCTTTGGATCCCTCACTGTGTTGAACAAGTACGGCGACTCGAGATGGCCCGAGGACTGGTTGACCTTGGGCTCCCACACCAGGTGCAGCTTCCAGTCCTTCCATTTGACGGCCCGCAGCTCCTCCTTGATGTAGAAGAGGAACCCCTCCCTCTCGGACTTGACCGTGCTTGGCTGCTTGAAGAAGGCCGTCTGATCGATGCCGTCAATTGGCCGTTCCTTTGGCAGCTTGGACCCGGTCATGGCCAGTACGGTCGTGAAGATGTCCGTGACGTGAACGATCTCGTTGGACGTCACACCCTCCGGGACCTGGCCAGGCCAGCGAATGATGAACGGCACGCGCAGGCTGCCCTCCATAGCCGTGTGGTACGTCCCGGACCAAGGGCCGGCGGTGCCCCGGTACGGCTCTCTGAACTCAGGCCCGTTGTCTGAGGCGAATATGAAGATGGTGTTGTCCCTAACCCCCAAGGAATCGACATGATCCAACAGCTCGCCGACGCGGTAGTCCATCTCGGCCATCGAGTCCGCAAAGTCACCCTGCCCCGTCTTCCCAGAAAAGTCTTTGTGAGGCAGAGTCGGGAAGTGAAGGTGGACGAGAGGATGGTAGAGGAAGAAGGGCTTCTCTGCCTCCACCTGCCGTGTAAGCCAGTCTTTTGATCGCTCGACCAGCATCTCGTCAATCAGCCGCCTAGCCTCGAGGTCGTAGATGCGAAAATTCTCCGAATCCTGTCCAGCTACACCCTTCATGATGTACGGAAGCTCCGCGACCTCGGGCGTGTACCCGATGGCCGAGGTGAACTGCGTCTCGTCCGTGGTCCTCGGGATCCCGAACCATTCGTCGAAACCGCGATCAGACGGATACCGCCCAGGGACGTCGCCCAGGTGCCACTTCCCATGGTGTGCGGTGGCGTAGTGGTTGTCCTTGAGGCACTCGGCGAGCGTCTTCTCCCACGGGGTGAGACCTTGTGGGAAGCCGGCCGGGACCGACTGTCGGCATCCCGTCCGGATGGGGTGGCGCCCCGTCATCAAAGCGGACCGCGTGGGCACGCAGTCGCTTTCGACGTTGAAGTTGTGCAGGAGGAGACCCTCTGTGGCGAGCTTGTCGATTCGGGGAGTCGCGGCGCCCCGGAGAGCGCCTCCGCCGTAACATCCCAGCTCTCCCCAGCCCAGATTGTCGGCTAGAGCTAGGACGATATTTGGCCGATTTGGATCGCGAGACATCGTTTGAGCGCAAGAAGAGTGCCGTATCAATGGGGCTGTTTGAATTTGGTCTCCTGCATCAACCGGCCTGGGTTAGACAATGAGGTTATATGCATAATGGGCGACCGGCGTTCGCCTGATGGCCGTTGTCGCTGACCTCCGATCGCGTCACCGGACGGAGATGACCTCCGTTGCGCTGCTCAATCATGAGACAGACAGTCGTAAAATGACTAACAAAACAATTCCGTTTGTGCTTTGCTGCTGTTTCGCATTTGACCAAACTGAGATTGAACCAGGACGCAGTCCAGCTCGAGGAGAATGGTATCGCGCAATAAGGTTGAACGTGAGCAAATGCATGTACTGATGTATCAAGGCCGTGCGTGCACTTGTAAGATGTCAACCCTAGCCAACCTCCTCTTCCTTCCTCCATAGAAAATGCAATAGATATGAATGATAAACCAATGTATCGTTGATTCCCTGATGGCTTACTTTGGCTTCAGTCTCAAGTAGCGACTACGACTGTTCCGCCGACTTACAAGGCCCGCCGGGGAAAAACGCGGGACTAGGCGATATGATTGAGCCAAGAACGAAATGTTGCGATCAAGCCATCATTCCCGAGAACTTCCCGCAAGTTGAGCGCCTTCCGCAGCATCACTTGGCTTGGAGACCGACTCAGATTGCAATTGGCGACGGCCTTGAGTAGCGCCCATGGACGGCAGGTATGAAGCAGGGAAACGAGGGTGCTGGAACTTGTGTGTATTGGTCTTGTAACCTATCTACCAGTTGTATACGCAGCAGCACCTTGGGCTACCTTACAGCAATTGCCTTGATCTTTTCAAGACAACCGGAGGTCATGGCAAAAGACAAAACGCAAGGAGAAAGTATGTACCTCACCATCAAATTTCCGACCTCATAGACAAAGCTCAGTGAAAATCTTCGGGCGAGAGCAGGAGAGTGGTGATTCCAATTGGAAAGTCTCTCCTACCGGGTTACTCTTCGCCAGTCGTATACCTCGAAAACCATGGATCTTGTTGGTTAACGCGGAGATATCCTAGCGTACATGCACACGAACTTCTACGACGGACCTACCATTCAGAGGCATTCCAATTTCATGTAAGGGAACGAGTATCCTCTTCGCCAGCAGTGCTGTGGTCAGGTTAGCAAGTCACAACATGTGTGTAGCAAAAAGGGGAGTGTGGCCCCGAGACAGCATCGCCCCGGGAGGGGCGGGCGATGGTGGCTTCGGGAGAACCTCCCATGGAGCACTTCACGGAAGACGTGGAAGTGGCCATTGAGAAAGAGTATTTCTCATTTCATTTTCTAGAAACTTTTTTGCTTTTTAGCCTTGTGATTCCCTCATGTCCTTTCCCATTCCAGGCAATGCCATTGCCAAAACGCGTTCAAGGTGTTGCGTCGTCATCGCAAAACGCCGTCGATGGATATCGTAGTATGTCATTCCCGCCGCCGTGCTTTTGAGTAATACCGTTTTGTGTTGTCCCTTGAATTGCCGCTGATCGTTGGGTGAATCCCAGCCAGAGACAGAACTTTTTCAAACCCTGCTCAGGATGGGATGGTCGTCATCATTTGACATTGGAGAAAATTTAGGCGGAGGCGGTGGACTTGACGCGGAGCTCGCGGCCGACCTTGATGCGCTCAAGGATGGACTCACGGTCCTTGTCGAGCTTGAGCTTGGTGATGACGACGTTGGAGGGGTGGATGCCCAGAGGGACGGACTGGCCGGAGGCCTTGTCGCGGACGACGCGCTCGACGTGGACGACGTACTTGAGGCGGTAGACGGAGGTGATCTTGCCCTCACGGCCCTTGTTGGTGCCGCGGACAATGGTGACCTCGTCGTCCTTGCGGATGGGGATGCTGCGGACCTTTGTGGGAGTCAGTATCTGTCGGTTGGAAGTCCATCGCGGCGGGTTGACGTACGTTGTACTTCTCACGGAGCTCCTTGGAGAGGGGAGCGCTCATGATGAAGCGACGGGTGCTGGAGGGGGCACCGAAGTGGGCAGCGCGCGACTTGCGGCGGCTGGAGTGAACCACTTTGCGAGAAAGTCAGCATTTTTGTCAATTGGTCGCAACAGTAGCAGCGGAACGTACTCTTGTTAACCTTGGTCATTTTGGCTGGGCGTTAGTAGGAACGTCGTTGGGCGGGAATGAGTTCGTGATGGTTGTCGGAGAGCGGAATGTCCAAAAGGAAAGTGAAAAAAAGTTTCGACAGGCCATGGTCGATTTTGCACGCCCACACGAAATTCGGCTGCAGGCTGACACGTGACCAAAAACTGCCCTAGGTGGTCCACGTGATGGTTCCCGAACGGTGGTCCAAGCTTCTGTACCTGGCGAAACTTTCGAAGGTCCGCCGCATCGGCGATAAGATAACGAATCTCAGCTCGCATGTCGCCAGTGTATTTACCATGGGACGAGTCCAGACAATGAAGTCATGCACTTTTTCCTTCTCTAGAGTGAGCTTTTCACAAAATACCTGGATATGATTGTGTATGGGCACTCAAGCGTCCATGCTTCTCGGTTGCCTCTACAATGTTCACAGGCCTGCGGTATTTTCTGACCATTGCCGGAATGATATCCTACAGATGTCCACCTACATGTCGCTTACTTCATGTCCTCAGATGCTTGTGGCCTATAAACGCCTGTCAAAATGCGCCTCCTTTTGAAATGCTATAGCTTCTTAGTATGACACGGGCGTAGGAGCCCAATCTTTTTGTACAGTAGTGTTTCGGTGGATGGTGTTGGAGTGGCGATATCCCGCAGTGCGGATTCGTTCAGATCATGGGTTACTTCTGTTCAATCGGCACAGGTGCCTTGAACCTGCCATTGTCGTCGTACTTGGCCTCTGTTCAACTCGTGAGCGACAATCCAACACTATACGAACCAACAAAACGTACTGAAGAAGGTATAATTCAACGTCACAGTCTCGATACCGCGCATGTTGACGTCGTTTACGATATCCGGGTCAAGGTAGAAAAACACGGGCATGTCGACCGTCTCGCCCGCATTCAACCGCTGCTCTTCAAAACAAAAGCATTGGATCTTGCTAAAGTACGGCGCCACCTGCCCAGGAGTCACGCTGTAAGTCGCCACGCCGATGATGTCCGTGTCGGAGGTGTTCGTCGCCGTGTAAAACGCCAGCGCCGTCTCGCCGGGGAGCACGCGCACCTCTCTCTGCTGCGGCGTGAACTTCCAAGGAAGCACGTCGGAGACGGAGGAGCTGAATGTGACGCGGATGCGGTTGGCCGAGGTTACAGGGACCAGGCGCGAGGCGAGGCCGTCTTCGCTGTAGTCGACATCGGGGCCGTGGGCACGGATGGGTTGGCCACCCCAGCCTGTTGTTTGGCAGATCTAGAACAGACGTGTCAGATTTTCTGATTGCATATCTGCAGAAAGAGAAGGGAATGCGCACCATCTTGTAGAGAGGGACGGAGCCGTATGACAATGCGACCGTACCAAGGATGATGCTGAGGGTGTAGTACCTGCGTACTCTCTTAGCAACCGTTTCGAGGCCCAATTGAAAAGGTATGTGTTCCTACGCTGTCGTAGCGTTCTTCCGTCTGTAATGCGCATGTACCTGCTCCATGGACGGGGCGCCGCCGAAGCTAGGACCGGTTTGCTGCTTCGGCGAAGGTGTGGTCGATGCGGCGCGGCGGGCGGCGGGAGAGGCGAGGTTTCGAGGGGAGGGGCGGGCGTGTTGGCAAAAGAAGCAGCTCCATCTCTGTGCCGATTGACGCCATGGAAGGCGCGGTAAGGCGTTCATGATCGCGGGGGTTTTCGCGGTTTGAGGATGGAGGGTTTGGGTATCATGCCATTCGGGAATTCGAGGTGAGGTGGGTTGAGCTTCTGCGCCGGCAGACGCCGAAGTTACCGGGACGGGTGGGGTTTGTTCCGCACCACCGGGCTTTGACTTCAGCGGTTTTTAGGGGTCCTTGCGCTGAGGGGCTGGGTGGACATCCCGCTGTAGGTCCCTGGGGCATGTGCTTCACTCACTGGACGACTACTGACTTGCATGCATCGACACGACACCTGCATATCTGCGTGGTATCGACCTTGCTTTGGGTGATGGGAATTTAATAGGTAGGTATCTATTTACGGTGGATTGCCAGCCTGTAAGCTGCCTCATGCAGCCTTCCCGTTCTTGACGGCCCTTTTCAGGCGGTTTGCACGCGGAGTAACAACCCTCATCGCTGCGCCAATGGCTCTCTCCAACACTCTCACAACAAACACCTGAATTATGAGAATGATGAGTCTCACAAACAAATCAGCAAGTCCCAGTGAGGGCTTCCTCCCTCGGCTGTACGTGGAATCGACAAACTGGAACGGCAGCTTCGCGTAGAGGTGATCCTGTGCAATGTGCAGACCGCTGCTGAAGCCGTCTTCGTGAAAGCCGTACTTCGTCCATGCTCCGGCGTAACTGATTCCACGCTTGTTCTGAATGCGTGGCAGTAGCTTCTGTGCGCGAACGGCCTCCGGGGTGTAGAGGGGGTGGCGGTAAGTGAAAGAGCCCTGGATCGTGTCCGGGTTCGGCTGGTGCAGGGGGTTCATCGTGACGAGGACATCGCCGAAGGTATCGCGGGGGATATGCTGCAGAATGTTCATGTTGTACGTCAAGGAGACCTGGTCGATATTCTGCTTCCCAGTTGAGGGTGATGAGAGAGTGAGGTAGTTCCAGCTCGACCAGGCCTTCTCTGAGGCTGGCATGTGCGAGAGGTCGGAGTGCAGCACGACTGAGTTCTCTGACGTCTTGAACGCAGACAGAATCTCCTTCTCCTCTGGCGTTGCGGATGACCCAATTATCCTGAGGGCCTGGTCTCCATGAGTTGCCAAGATGACATGGTCGTATACATCGGACTTTCCGTTGTGGGTGTGGACTCGTACTCTGCCGTCCTCCTCACTCGTGACCTGGGTGACTTGCGTGTTAAGGAAGAGGTGGTTTGACGGGAATCCGTGCATCACGGCGTCGATGTATGACTTTCCACACTTCTTCAGGGTGAGCCACTGCGGTCTGGTCGAAATGGTTGACAGGAGATGGTGATTCCACCTGCTCTGATGTCAGCATCAACAATTGTCCATCAGCGGGAAATACTTACATGAAACGAACGAGGGTGACAGCTGGGAAATCGAGTGTGCACTTGTCCGGGCTTGTGCTCCACACCGCAGCGGTCATGGGAATAAGGTAGTCGTCCCTGAAGGCGTCCGAGTAGCCTTCCCTGTCGAGGTATTCGCCAATCGTCTCCTCCCGCCTTGCTCCCTTGCTGTACCCATTCATTGCGGCGGCATCATTCTCATCATCGGCCATCAACAAGTCCAGGGCAAACTGATTGAAGCGGATAATGTCGAAGATCATCCTCCACATGCGCAGCGAAAAGATGTTCTTGCGCTGGGAAAAGAGGGCGTCCAAGCTCGTGCCGGCCCATTCGAATAAGCCGTGATCTCGCGTTACACCGAACGTCATCTCCGTCGGGACTGTATCCACCTTGACCCTCTTCAGAAAGTTGATGAAGTTTGCTGTTCACCGTGTGAGTAGAAGCCCTCATCTAGCCAGCATGGTGAACTCACGGTACGTCGCCGCGTTGAGGACGATGAATCCCGTGTCGACCCTCGTCTCATACTTTCCATTCTTCCAAGTTACGGTATTCGTGTGTCCGCCGAGCCTTGACGCGGCCTCATACATGTAGACATCATGATAGCTTCGATTCAACGCCCAGAGGGCAGCAATGCCGGCACATCCACTGCCGACGACGGCGACCTTTTTCCTAAGCTTCGGGTCAATGGGGGAGCCCACAGAACCCACGGATTCCAACGACGGAGGTCGACGGGGCATTATTGAAGCGGTAGACATCACTGAGACACCTGCAAACGGTACGAACAATGCAGAGCCTGAAGTTTGGCCAAGCCACGTCTCGTGGGTGCAGGTTGAGAAGAGATTTTGCGATGTTACAGTAGCATAAGGTGTATAAAAGGCAAGAGCGGGCAGAAGAAAGAGACAGGAATCGAGGAGGCCGGTAAGCTTCGCAGCTTGCGCAGCTCTCAGCCCGAAATGTCTTGGAATGGCGGGGTCCAAGGTGCAAGCCACGGGCGTCGATTTGGGGAAGAAGAACAATGGGATGGACGGGTTTCGCACATGCCAACCCCGCGCCACCGCTCATCCCAAACTTGGGTTTTTGGAGAAGAACAAAGTCTCGAGAGTCTCTGGGAGTCTGAGGAGTCTGAGGAGGCGAATGTGGTGGGCATGGTTGCACACACCGCACACACCGGGCTGTGGACCAATGCACCTAGTGCTGCAACTTGCGCAGGTGACGGACGGGTTCGGGGGGGAGGGGAGTGCGGCAGCGGTGGTAACATGCAGATACTTGGTGGACGAGCATGTGGGAAAGCGTTTGTACGGGGAAAGGATGAAAATCCACTGGCAGGAAGACATGCAGATAGACAGGGAACAACAGAACGAACAACTTACAGCGGCTGACCTGGCGCCATTCCTGCTCCGTTTCGTGGGTTTCCGGTATGGATCCGATATGGGTATCCCTCAAAGGACTGGACAGTAGAGCGATCGACACGTGGCTACCAACAAGCTGCAACGGGTGCGTCCTCCGATGTTTTTAAAATAAGTTTTGACAGCGACGAGGGCGAAGGGTATGGAGAGGAGGAGAGACGGTATGCAGATGTGTGTCGGGAAAGGGAGCGTTCGGTTCGGCCGCGGATCACGATGCGATGAAACGAAACTCTGCTGCCGGAGCTCCCAGGCGCAATGACGCTTGCATTGACAATCCCTGCAACCTGCGCGCCTGATCTTTACAAGTCCCCAGCGCTCCCCAGCCCCTCCTTGTTGCGACCTTCTTTTCGACTGTTCACGATCCCGACGCCACAAGGTGGCTGGCCGATTTTCTTGACCACACACTTGTCTAACGAAGACTGATTGAGGCTGATATGGGGAACAACGTTTGATAGTGCATCAGCTTTATTTGATATCTGACGAGTCCGCGCGACAGCTGAACACGTAAAGGGTGAGACGTCTTGCATGTCGCAGCCCAATAATCGCCTCAGGGGCGGTGACTATCGCCGGCGTCTGCAGCCTCGCATTTTCCAAGCTATTGCATCGCGAGACCCCTGACCTTTGGCATCTGTTCCTCAAAAGAAAAAGTTCGACAGGTGACTTGCAGAATCAGCAAGAGCGAGCGGTCCGTGGGGGAAAGGGTGACAGCAAATTCAGACGCGTCATACTCCCCCAAGAATGAATCAAAAAGACACGCGACACCGACTGGACCTCGAGCTTCTTCTTCGCAACCAGGGCAAGCCCTAGACAGCAATGAAAAAGAGGAAAAAGACACGCCTGTCAGACGTCCATCGACACCCACCCTGACCGTGCGCCCAAGGGCAAGACCACAGTCAGGGACGAGATCATCACCGCCTTCTATACAGCCCAAGCCTCAAGGGCAAGAGCCGCCCTCCAGAACGGAGAGTGCGAAAGCAACCAGAGTTCTTCACTCTAGGGTGTCGAGGATATCATTCATCAACCAGGGTGGGATCTGTGGCTCCTGTAGGGAACCAAGAATAGGTCGAATACTATAGAAATGATTCTCTGAAGTATTGTCGACATAAGGAAAAAAGAAGAAGAAAAGTCTAAGATTCGCGGCGAGAGGTTGCCTTTTTATAGATCTCTGGCGGACGGCCAAGACGCACGGGCCAGAGTGGATTTTTCTGTGGGGGTTTCTGCCTGCGGTGGGCGACGACGGCGCAAATTTTTGAAAAGAGGCGGGTGACCGCCTTGATATTGCCGCTTTTTCGGTTCGACATGTTGCTGATGGCAGAACTTGTCTTTGCAAACCACGGAAAGTGAGGGAGAGAGTCGATCCAAAGTGGTCTTTGTGGGCGAAGGCAGGTTCCAACCATTCGACTGCAGTTAGGCAGGTGTATTATGTTGCGAATGAGGTTCTGTGTCGTGGCGCATGACAGATGATTGATGCGCCTGGTAAGCGCGCAGAAAGCGTCTCTGAAAATCCCGTCACTTCCAACGCCTCTACCATCAGAGATTTCTCGAGATGCCTCCAGTCCTCTCGGTGCCTGGTTGACCCACATGGACGATAGTGGATAACTTTCACATGAAAATTTCAAGAAGCAGTCGGTCTGCCTACACTGTAACTCACGAGACGGACACGCAATATTGAGTCCCTGTCTTAAGACGTGGCATTGCGTCGGACATCAGGCAGATAGATATTCTCACACCCGGCATAGGTACTTGAGAATGACTTTCAGGAAATCCGTATGCCGAGATATCAGCTTCATCTTGTGATTCTTGGCAATAGGTTCATCGTCTCAACGGGGAAGTTTCCATGTTGACGTTGGGATCTGCACCAGCGGAAGTACCCATACAAACATAGGTCACCGCGGGAACTTCAGGCCAAGAGTGAGCCGTACGCGGCAATTTCTCTACCGTAGCAGCGTTCATGTCGCTTGTCTACGAGACACAGATCGTTTGGAGACATCAAACAGTGGTCTACGATGAAAAATGTCGAGCACTCAACGGGATCGGAAAACGTGAGATCGAGTTCCCAATTCTTAAAAGCGACGTGACGAAGCATCCCCCCGAAAGGAGACACCCACCATCCTTCTGCCCGGCTTAAGTTCAACTCGACGTCCGTCAGGCACCGAAATGCCAGTCGACGCAGAGCCGGTTTTCCTCGAACCGGGGGTATAATCAACTTGAAGGAAAAAGAAGAGAAAGGGAAAAACTTCGTTTGCGCCGCCAAACTGCCATTAAAAGCCTGCAGCGGACGGGGCCAGCAGCCGGTGCACGGTCCAGAACGGTCACGTGTTTCTGGCGCTCTCCAGGCACCGGCCGCACTAGCCACTGTGGACCTGAGCGCCTCGTTAGACCCATTGGAGCACCAGCCACTCGGGAGCATGATGTCGCCAAGGCCGGTCCAGACTTACGCATGCTACTTGCGACCGACGACCTTCCAACAACGCAATCGCTCGCCCCCCATCCCACCCTTTGATCGCATCCGGCCGTTCCAGCGCTCCTACAACATCAACGTTCCCGACAACCCTATCTGTTTCTGCAATTCGGCTCCCGACGAAACGACGTTCGCATTCGCCGTTAGACTACACGCAGAAGTCCATTAAGGAGGCGCTCCGCTCTCCATCCCGGGTACCCGCCGTCTCCTAATCGCCGTCGAGGGCGAACACCATCTCTCCCGCTTGCTTGGCCGAGCCCTCTAATCATCCTCGAAACCGCCGACTTCGACGCAGCACTCGCCCAAGATGTCCAACCCTCTCGAGACCGAGCCCGGCTCTGAGCGCTTCAGCGACTACGAAGCCGAGCTCAAGCTCGTCCAGGCCGACCTGGTCCAGAAGCTCGACCAGATCCCCGAGCTCTCGGGTGAGCCGCGCAAAGCAGCTCTCAGCTCCGCAGAGCGCGCCCTCGAAGAGGCAGATGAACTTGTAATTACGAGCCCCATAACCCTAAGCAAGTTGGTCCAGAGGGTGCTAACAGTGACATATCACAGCTCGCCCAGATGCGCCTCGAAAAGGCAAACATCCCAACGACCCTCCGCTCCAAGATCAACGCCCGCTTCCGCAACCACGAATCCGACATCGACTCCCAGAAGCGCAAGCTCCGCTCCCTTGCCGACGACCGCGCCGCCCTCTTCGGCGCTCGCTATACCGACAACCCATCAGGCTCCGGCCAAGACGTTCAGCTCGAGCAGCGCCAGCAGCTGCTCAACGGCACCGACCGTCTCGACCGCTCCACTCAGCGCCTCAAGGCCTCCCAGGCTCTGGCCAACGAGACGGAGTCCATCGGTGCCAGCACCCTCGCTGACCTGCACCGCCAGCGTGAAACCATCCAGCACACCCATGACCGCCTCCTTGAGAGCGAGGGATACGTGGACCGTAGTGTCAAGACACTGCGGGGGATGGCCCGTAGGTAAATATCGTCCTTTACCCCATCTACTGGACTGGAATGATTTCGAAATGCTAACGCAGGTACGCTGTAGGATGGCTACCAATCGGGTGATTACCATCTCCATCATCACGATTCTCGTTCTCCTTATTGTCGCCGTCATTTTCAGCAAGTTCAGGTGAAGCAGCAGCATCGGCAGCAGCAGCCACCCACTGGGTTCGGAGTTTTGGGTTGTACGTTTATCATCACGATGTGCCATTGGTTTCTCGGGAGCTTCGTGGGGTTGTTGTATTATGTGTCCCCCCGCGTGTTTTATGCAAAGAGAATGGGCTTCAATGCATGTTATATAACGATGTGAAAAGATGAAGCCCCTGGTCTGGGTTTTAAGCCGGCCGCAATTCGCAACAGAGACGTCTTTCTCTCAATCTCTGTCTCTCTCTTTTATTCTAATCAAATCGTGCTACGATAAAACACAAACCTGCACGTCATGCATAAAATAGATGGGATCACGAGTCGTTCGTATGTAAATACCAATTTCGTTCTTCTTTTTCTCTACCTGCCGTTAAGACGCCACGTGAAAGACCCTTTTCGAAAAAGAGGGATCGCTTTTTACCTCATTTAGACGGGTATAATCAGACTGTACATCCCAAAGAAAAAACACACACACATATACCAGACGTATCCACTACCTTCGGCCACCACCTCTGCCGCGGCCCTTGTTCACACCACCACCAGACATCGGGCCCCGTCTCCTCTCCTCACCAAGCCCCTTGCGCCCGGCAGCGATACCGCCCCTGCCACCACGTCCGCCACGCGCACCACCGCCACGGCCACCACGACCGCCACGGAAAGGCCTGCCGCCGGCGCCGCCTCTGTTCCTGTCGACCTGCGCCTTGACCGCAGCAGCGTCGCCCTCGTCCATGTCTTCCATGTCCTCGTCGTCCTGGCCGCGCTTGTTGCTGAACTTGAGCTTGCCGCCGCGGCCCTTGCGCGCGACATCCTTGCCCTTGAGCGCCGCGACGTAGGCGTTGACGCCGGAGCCTTCGCCGGCGCCGCCGTCGACCTCCATCTCGTCGTCGCTGTCCTTGCCGAGGATGAGCTTGCCGTCAAGGTCCATCTTCGCCTTGGACCGTGCCGGCTTGCGCATCTTGACAGGCTTGGTCGAGGAGATGTTGGCGAGCGCGTTGCGGTCGAGCAGGTCGAGCGGCTCGTCCTCGTCCTCGACGATGTACGTGTTTCCGCCCTTGCGGTTGCCGCGCTTGGCCTTGAAAGCGGCGGCTCCCTCGCCGTCGTCGGAATCATCGTCATCAGAGCCGTCCGAGTCGCTGCTGTAGAGGGCCTGGTCGAGCTCGTTGTCGAACTTGCGGCCGTGGCGGGCGTCGCCGTCGTCGTCGCTCTCCTCGCCGGCCTGGCGGGCGGCCTCCTTCTTCTTCTTGCTGCGCTCCTTGGTCTTGCGGATGTTGTTGATGAGCTTGCGGTCGGACTCGGGGCAGTTCTGGTTGACGAGGTCGTAGCCGAACTTGCGGACCATGCGCTCGAGGATGTGGCGGACCTTGCTCTTGAAGTGGCCCTTGTGCTCGTGGCCCCAGATGATGAGATTGGGGATCAGGCTCGACAGGCGGGGGATGACGAGCTCCGAGGGCAGGCTGACGACGCAGATCTTGACGAAGCCCAGGACGCTCTTGACGATCTCGCGGTTGTTGGAGGTCAGGAACAGGTCCATTGTTTGCACGAGGTCGGCGAGGGTGTTTGTGCTGAAGGAGCGACGGAACTCGTAGAGGACGCGGCTAAGGGCCGTGATGGAGGCGGAGATCATGTGCGGCGTGCTGCCAACGAGACCGGCGCTGACCATGGTGAGGAACTCCTCGATGTTGGCCTTGCCGGCGGGTGCGTCGGCGGGCATGTGCGGGACCTTGGAGTTGTCAATGGTGGCGTTGTTGGCGGCCTCCATGCGCTGGCCCATCTGGACGAGAAGGTCATAGGCTGCTTCTCTGGCGCGCTCGTTGTTCTCCTTGCAGCAGATGACGACCTCGCTAAGGATTGCGGGGATGAAGTGAAGAGAGGTGTCGGGGATGAAGGCGAGGAGAGATGAGAGGGCGCCCAGACGCTCACGGCGAGCTGGAGCGGAGACCTTCTCAGCACTGTTGAGGAACATTTGTTGCAGCTCGTCGGTGCGCTCTTGGAGAGCGAGCTTGCCAGTCTCGGACTCGGCCAGACGAGGAACCAGCTTGTAGGCCTTCTTCTGCAATTGCGGCTCGTTCTCCTTGAAAATGATGACGGCGGCGATCTCGAAAAGAGCAGAGAAGCTTTCACGGGGCAGGTAGACCGAGATGGTGATGATCAGGTCCATAAGCGTGTTGCTCGTTGACGGCATTTGTTCCGAGGACTTCTGCTGCTGCTTGGGCTTCTCTTGCTCGGCAGTCTGCTGCAGTTCCGCTGCGAGCATTTTGCTGACGCGATCGAAGGTCTCAACAAGCTCCTTCTCGGGAGTGACGCTCAGGAAAGCGTTGATAGTAAGTAGGATAGGTCCCCTTGACTGGGGCAGGGTCTGCGTGTAGACGTTGAAGAGGACAGCCAGCATATTGGCCGCAAACCCGCCCAAGTGCTCCAGGTTCTTCTTCGCTGTGGCCCTGGAGACACGGCTCTGAAGGACGAGGTCTTCCTCAGCGTCCTCAATAGAGGCGATGGCCTGGTTCGACTCAATAAGGATCTTGAGCGCACGGCAAACCTCCAGGCGCAACTCAACCTGCTTGTACAAAATGTTGGCCAGAAGCTCAGCAAAAGCCTGGTCAAATGCCTCAGTCAGGTCGAGGGGAAGGTCGCAGTATCCCGGCAGAGTCGCCCAGATTTGTTGCACGAGGGTCTCGAAGATCTTGACCTCCATCGTCTTCTCCGCCTTACCATGGTCCAGGACCCTTTGGAACATGAGCTCACTCAGAGGAACCATCTCGCGGCGGAAGTGAGCAAGGTTGGTGTTACTGACGTAGTCGCGGAGGATGGGGAACATCCACGCACGACCCTGCTGGCCCTTCACGGGCTTGGCCAGGTTCAAGGGAAGGATAGAGAGCACCGCCTCAGGGCCCATGGCGCGGATGGCCTTTCCAATGACCTCATCGGCCTCCTTTTTGCCCTGGAAAGAATCGCTACCACGAAGATCGCCAACGGCCTTGGTGATGTTGAGCATCATGGGGTGAGCGCGCCACCTCAGGGAATCAAACATGGCTCCGAATACATTGAAGCTCTCCATCCAAGCCTGCTGATACTTTACGCTAAGAAGGGTCTCTGCAATCTTGGCAATCTTGTCCAGAGTCTTCTCGTCGTAGATGGATGGTTCGAGGATGACTTGCTTAGGAACGCAGTTTGCAAGAAACGAGACTAGGCACTCAGACGCAGAGACACGGATGTTGTGGGCGGAAGACTCCAGGTACTGGGCGACCATGGAGAAGATCTCGGGCAAGTTCTGAAACACATCCTCGGGCTCAAGCTGCGCAGAAACGTCGTAGCCCCTTGAAAGAATTGCGAGCCATGGCGGAATAAGCTGGGTGTCGTTTGCAGCAGGGCGCAATTCGGAAATGATCTCCATAAGTCGGGGGAGCTTGGCCGAAGCAACCTCATCGGCCATGCCCTCGAAAATCATCTCAAAGATCTCAAAAGAGGCCATAGTCATGTACTCGTTGCCTGATCTGGAAATACCCAGGAGCAGCTCGCACAGAGACTCAATCTTCTTGCTGGGCCAACCACCGCTGGAGGACGCGACGGTCTTGATGAGCTGGAGGGCGTGGATCAGAGCGGGATCGTGCGCTGACTCGGCTCCATTCTTCTGCTTCCTGGCCTGCGCAGCCTTGGTGGCCAAATCTTCTAGGTTCGCAAGAGCGGTGTGCGCGCACATGTCGGCGGCCGGGTGATCTAGCGAAGGACTCGGAGGCGGGTTCGTCAGAACCTTGCGTAGGGCCTCTTGCGCCCTCTTTCGGATCTTCGGGCGATGGTCGAGGGCAAGGTTCAGCAGACCAGCAACGGCTCTTCGGGGGCCAATTTGGGTGATGCCCAGCTCCCAGGCGGCGGAATCCTGCGCGAGCAGCAGAGACTCCAGGCAGCCGATAGAGGACCTGAGAAGTAGGGCTTCGGCATCTTCGAGGAGGAGGACGGGGGCGAGGGAAGTGAGGATCTGGGTGAACTTCGCTCGGAGGATTGGTTGGGGCGCAAACGGGGTAACGGTATCGAGCAGGTAGACAACGGACGTCGTTGTTTCGGAGGCAACGTTGCCGCTCTCGACGGCTTGTGTGAGAAGGGCCAAAAGGGCGGCGAAGTAGCCGGTCGGTGTAGGCTCAGTTTTCTGCTCCTTCAATGTCGTGTCGACCGCCTCGAGGACTACTGCGGTCTTGACGTCGGTCAGTGACATACCCTCAAGAAAAGAATGACCCGAGCAAACCATACCCTCTTCTGGCTCTGGAGGCCGGGGGACCGGATCTTGTCCAGCTTCTCGGCAAGAGTTGGAGTCGACATTGTGCTTGTCGTGTTCCAATCCGTCGGGACCAACTGTGGAAGACGATGGGACCGATGCTTCCAAGAGCGATTCCCACCCAAATTTTTTTCCCAGGCGCAAAAAAAAAATCCTTATCGTAGCACACCCCGCCCCTCGCTTATCGCAAATGTATACAGTGCATTTCGTCGCATCTCGGGCAAGTTCCCTACATTCGCACTGTCCCATCAACCGGCTTGCGCTCGAGCAACATCGTAATCACAATTGACGGACGACTTCATTCACCATTCCTGAATACCACATACCAAGCAAAGTTGGCTTTTGGCCTCTGACACTCTACGAACAAGGCATTTTTGACCGTGTAGTATATCAATTCTCTATTGCATCTGTTTTTGTCCTTCTGCCATTCGGTTTGATCGTATTCATACCATTATTCGTCATTACACCCCTGAATACTTGAAATCATGCCTTGATCTGGGCTTCTGAACGCACTTCATAATCATACATTGGATAGCAATTTCTCGCAACGTTCGATGTGATGCGTCTACTTGATTTGCTGTGCGCGACGGTCAGTGTCTTTCTCGATGTGGTCTATCCACAAACAACTTACAATGGAACGATGAGGAGGCTGGTTCTCGGGCCGACCATCGGCTGAGATAGCCAGGCGGCTAAGCGCCGCATGAAGATTGTCATTGTCATTTG